ATATTAAATTTTATACTTTTATTTCGATCATTAAATTTTGTACCTACAAAAATATCTTTATATATATATATATATATATGGTTAAGAATTGAGAAATTAAAAATCATCATTTTTTTCGATATACCTATTAAATTTTAATCTTAAATGATTAGAGTCGTGGATATAAAAATAGCATATAAATTAATACCATTTTTATTTACATAAATTAATGATCAACAAGATATGACGTATTTCTTATTACGGTAAACGTTTATACTTGAAGGATACTCGTGTTGGTATAGACGTCTCTCTTCTTTCCGACAGTCTACCGACTTAGAGATCGAAAGTTCTACAAAAGAAAATCTATATCACGATAGGTATCACACCTATATTTTATCCTTTTCCACCAGGTCAATTTGATTCCGGTCTGGAGGCACTTTTTCATTACTAGGACTTCTCGATGCTGGTTGACATTAATTGAACTTTTCTTTTTTAATCAAAAGGAGTGTCTGTTCAAACAAGATTACTCGTTATAGTTTTATGGAAATAAGATAAAATAATGGATTTAGAAATACATACATTAATTGCTTAAAACTGAAATGCAAGGTGCGTCTATCTATCTATATATATATATATCGATAGATATAGATATATATCCACATACAGACTGTTTCGCTGCATCACAGCTCATCAGTAGGATAGACATCCGATTGTATCAAACCGGGATCGAAACTCGACCGGTTTGACATCAGTTAGAGATTCTACCCCTAAGCTATCGGTACACGGCAAAGAAAGGGAATCTGTTAACATATTATATACGTGATGTATATAAACACTAAACCAGCAGCCAGAGCGCTCAAATCTGACGAAGTACGATGCATTAAGCAGCACCTTATATATATATATATGTGTGTGTGTGTGTGTGTGTGATAAATTATAGTATTAAGGTACGTTATATTTATGCTTTAAAGTCATCATTATCAAGGATAGGGCTTATGTAAATATAAAAGTGGACATTGAAGTCAACACCCAGAGGCAACAGTCTGTTTCCTGCGCAACGATTTAGGTCTGATGTTTGCGTTTAGCATGAAACAGACTGCCGGCTCTGGATGTTGACTTCAATGTCCACTTATATATAGAGAGAGAGAGAGAGAAAACTACTCCACCGGTAAAGCACCAACTAAAAAAAAAAACACTTTGCAGATTAATGTTGTTTACCAATTCTCTTCTACATTGAGAGAATGTCTCTGTCGATAATAAAAAAAAATCATCATATATTGACATTTTTCTTGACTAGATTAACGTGTCACTTTACGACCAAAATGCTCACACGCACACGCACACACACACACGCTCACACACACACACACACACACACACACACACACATATATATATATATATATATATAATATATATAAAAAGAGAGAGAGAGGTGGAGAGTAAAATTTCGTTATATTTTTCTGATTATGAACAATGAAGTGTTGAGTTTATGTCCACACTGTTTTATATTTATCACACATGCAAACACACAGACACACACACACACATATATATATATATATATATATATATATATATATATATATATATATATATATATATATATATTGAGATATGTTTCATTGAATAATTTAGATAAGTTTTGTCTACTTATTTTATATATATTCGCGGACAAGCTTTTTGGTGTCATTATTAAAAGCGAGGACATGTTGTCTCGAGAGGTTTTAAGAAATACGTATTAAAACTATTAGTGCAAACCTTGGTATTTTAAACTATCTATTGTATACATTTTAGAACATTTGTGCAGTATTCATAATTCATTTTATTTAGGTTTGGTTTCAATTTTTTAATAAAGATAGCTTCGAGAATTTTTAGTTTATTTTTATTATTTTCGTGAAAAAGTGTAGATGTATTTTTATAGATGTAATTTCACAATTTTTTTTTAAATTGCGAATGTGGACAGGTATGCTGTTGTAAATGTTTAGAAATGTTGGACATATCATTCAAATGAAAACTCAGCCACCGAGACAACGTTGTCGTAGTATGTCCAACATGAATATTATTTTTACCTTTAGAGATCTAACCTCACAAAGGAGATTTCAGTTTATAAATAATGTTGGTTTTCTGCAATACGTTAGTAGGTCAGGGAGAATCATTACGAATGATTGAATTAGATATACTTGGTTTAGTGGACTATATAATTGATTTTATTTTTTACTAGTATCTGTAGTATATATATATATATTAGTATTTATTAATTTTTTTAGGATATTTTTGTCTTGTTTATAATTAGAATGTACTTGGTTGCGATATGAAAGATTAATATATTTGGAGTTAGTTGAAGTGTTATATTCTATTTGTTTGGTATTAAAATTTCTAATAGAACATCTTATTTGTTCATCAACAATATAATTAGGGAAGTTATTACAAATAAGAGTTTGTGTTATATTTTTTAGTTCTCTATAGAAAATCTGTTTTGTGGATTAATTTTGCACGGCTTATTGGGTTTTTTATAATTGCTAATTTATAGTAATTTGAACCTTCGCCCTTATAGTTAAAGGTACACGAATTTATGCTGGTAAGTTAGTTTTTTTTTTAATGGAGGAGATAGCGAATGTATTTTCATTAGTTTTAATCAGTCTATCTAGAAAAAGAATTTTGTTGCTATTATTAAGTCAGTATGTAAAGTGAGGTCATGTCTTCATTGTTAAGCTTCTCATTTTTTAGAATTTGAATTACTTTAAGAGTTGATTTTATGCTGAATCTACTGGGAAGGTATAGTGTGATAAGTTGGGTGATGATTTTTGTTAATTGATACACAGGAGTGGGTATCTGCGATGTAATAGGAAGGAGAGAGTAATTTTGTTTGTGTGTTTTTATAGGGCCATATATGTAATGGCGTCTATAATCACCGACGAGGAATTTTAAACTGTCCTGTTGGGTATTATTAGCAATGATAAGTTTAATTTTTTATTTTAGTTGATTATTTGGGTGTGGGTGTATGTGTGCGTGCGTATGTGCGTGTGCGTATGTGTATAAGTGATGAGTATCTGTGATAGAGCGTGTGTAAATATAAAACTGGACACTGAAATCAACAATGAATGCTGACAGTCTGTTCAATACTTAAAGACATCTTCATCAAAACTCTCTCATTGACAACTTTTAATCGCCAGTCTACCATACCGTAAAACTATCTATTTTATCATATATTTTATATATATATATATATATATATATATATATATATATATATATATATATTATTTTTTTTCTTTTACCTTTTTACACGTGTTTTCTTTTTCTGACAAAAAGTGTGTAAAACTGTTCAAATATTTGGTTATACTTCCAGCAATTATCAAGGATGATTTCATTTTTACTTTTAATATATATATATATATATATATATATATATATATATATATATATATATATATATATATATATTAAAGATAGAAACCATAAAAGTTTTTGCTTCTAATTTGGATTTTTAAAAAATATTATGCTTTATTTTCCATAATTTTGCTACACGCGTTTCCGGTCTCGTCACCGTCATCAGGCAAAGAGTGGAGATTTCCACATATTATTAAAAATAATTAATTCGTTTTTTCCTTTATGTTTTTCGATGTTAAATATTCTCGATATGAGACATTCTCTTTTTTTGTGTTAGTGACCAGATGTCTTTCTTGAACTGGCAGTGAAAAGTTGAAGAGGTCTGTTATAAAACAATTAAGATTGGTCCGAGAAATGATGGAGTAGTTATCGGCATTCTTATCTTTTAATGACCCCTGTGTGTTCTTAGATCTATGTATCTATCATTAAACTCGTGTAGCAAAATTACGGAAAATAAGGCATAATATTTTTTTTTAAATCCGCATTACAACCAAAAACGTTTGCGTTTTCTCTCTTCTTTTTAATATACACACTTTTTCTCGGAACTACTATAATTCTTTCTTATATATATATATATATATATATATATATATATATATATATATATATATATATTATATATAATATATAATTTTTTAAATTAACTCAATTGTACCCCACATATGTATGTTCATTTTCGAAAAAGTCAACATTCAATAGCAATAACTACGAACACGGTCACAATGTGCTGACCATGTTTGGAAATTAATGAACCCTTCATCTAATCCCCCACTAGATTATCCTCGTTCCGCTGATCATATATCAGTATATCTCTCCATGTTTATTTTTAGTACTTAACATTTAATACTCTTCATCATTTAAATATTACTTCCTTCTTTTGCTGTATATGGAATCCCCTTCAAAATATAGCATTTTATATATTAGGTCTATAAATTTAAAATTGCAGTAGCCTGGTTCTCAATTTCAGTCAAGATTGTTTTAGGTGTTGCCATAGAAGGATATGACTACACAACCATGAAATTCAAATTCAACTTGCATTGACAGGACTAACATTTTGATTGGCGAAAATAGTCCAAATATTATGCCAGTAAATCCACGAACCAATATTTCAATCGTCGAGGCTTTTTTCCCGAAGGAAATCTTGAATCTAGAAATTGAAACTTTAAACCAAATGTTCTTTTTTTTTTTCTTTTTTGCTACTGCAGCCTCCTCTGCCGCTTCTCTTTCTTACCGGCGCTCCCAAAGCCTTGTGCCAAGCTTATTTCTCTCCAACGTCCTTTCCCTTTCTTTCTTTCTTAATGGCTCGTATAGAGTATTTATTTGCAAGATAGGCATACTGAGAAAGCCTTCGTAGACTATCATATGAGCTGATTCGTTCAGACATCGTTACTAATAACATTACAATACTATTAGCATTTATTTAGTTTAGTGTGTATGTTTTCCCGTCAGATGTCACAGTAAACGCAAGGTTTATTACCTTTCGACAAGTGAGTCACAGACATCTTCAATCAACAACAAATTAATGGCGTGCTGACAAGAGTTCAACTCTAAACTTCCGGTGACTTGAAAAAAAGCCAGAGAATTCATTCATACAAGAATTATAATCAGAACATCAATGATAAAACTAAATGAATAATTTATCGAATCGAAAAACTTTTTACTCTTCTTTTTCTGTTTCTTTTTCTTTTTTCTTCTTCTTCTTCGTTTTCTTCTTTTCTTCTTCTTTTACTTTTCCTTTTCTTCTTCTTTTTCTTCTTCTTCTTCTTTTTTCTTTTTCTTCTTCCTCTACTTTTTCTTCTTTTTCTTCTTCTTTTTCTTCTTCTTCTTCTTTCTTTTCTTCTTTTTCTTCTTTTTTTACTTTTTCTTCTTTTCCTTTTTCTTCTTCTTTTTCTTCTTTCTTTCTTCTTCTTCTTCTTCTTTCTTTCTTTTTTTCTTGTTCTTCTTTTTCTTCTTACTTCTTCTTCTTTTTCTTCTCCTTCTTCCCTTTCGTTTTCAGTGACCCATGTCTATTAAGTCTAATCCCTCTTCTGCTAACCATTGACTAAATCTCGTTGTTTTCTCTTTCCTTCTTGCCTTTAATATGTTCTGTGAGTGCCATATTCTCTAAGCCCTCTTTCCTCGTTTTGTCTCCTAGAATTTTTAACTTACTCCTTCTGATGCTAAGTATGAGTGTCCTTTGTTTTCATTTTCTCTAAAATTTTCCTTGAAGAAGAAGGAGGAGGAGGAGAAGGAGGGGGTGGTTATAGTGGAGCATGCAAAGAGACAGAGGTGACAAGACATGGTAAGGCAAATCAGAAATATACCAAGCATCAAATCAAGTTCTCCCTTTTTGCAATAGACGTACCAAGGACCATTTCCAGGAATCTTTTTGCTTTGCCGGATGCACTGGGCATATCTGACATCATTGGGTGTCTACAGATGGCGTGTTGAGGAAAATATTGTGTCTCTAGGTTGCTGACAGGAGCTGACTAGAAAATCATCACCTCACCGTAACAGCTAGGGCTGGGGAGAGGATGTCACATCATAATAATAATAATAATAATAATAATAATAAAACTGGTATGAACACCATCCAGACCCGGATACGGAGATAGGACCTGTTACAATTCTATGGGACTACACAATACACACTGACAGAACAATCAATGCCAAACGCCCAGACATTGTTATTAGAGACCACAAACAAACAAAAATGCCTCCTTATTGATATGGCAGTCACTGCTGACTGAAATGTATCTTTGAAGATATTCAAAAAGCTGTCAAAATACAAGGACCTTGAAATAGAAATCTCGAAAATGTGGCACATGGAAACATCAACAATCCCTGTTGTAGTTGGAGCCCTGGGACTGGATGGAAAAGATTCCAGTAGACTAATTCAAGGGATTCCTGGAAGTCCATGCCTCAAAGAGATACAAAAAATTGTTCTCATAAGTACAGCCTACACTTTACGGAGGGCTTTATTTATGTAATTTTTTTTTTTTTTGTCAGTGGAAAGTGTCATGATGCCATCTCTAACCTTAGGTCCCTTTTTACCCGGTAAGAAACGTGTAAACGCCAGAAATGAAAGAAAATAAAAGTATTAATAATAATAATAATGAGGTAGAAATCATTATGTCAGGATTGTTATGAAATATCCCATGCTATTGATTACCTGCTGTAAATCGGGATTTATGAATGATATCAAAAGTGGCAAACAAATACATGGATCAACTTCCTGTCATCACAAAAACTACTTACGAATAATTCTAACATTTTGCTAGGATTTTTTCCACAACTATTTTTTTTTATTGTATGATATCACGTGATGGCAACATCTGATGCCAAAACAATTGTTATCAGAATACATAACCCATACATATCAGGAATTACAGAATATTAGAATTACAGAATATAAGAATTATAGAATATCAGAATACTGAATATCCGACTTACAGAATATCAGAATACAAAATATCAGAATACGGAATAGAATTACAGAATATCAGAATGCAGAATATCAGAATTACAGAATATCAGAATTTCAGAATTATGTTTGCCCCATTATCCGGTAAACCTTAAAATATATCCGCGTCCTGGGTAAGACGTTAAACTACGTCCAGCAGCAAGACCTCTGATCAGGAGGTTTTGAGGAACGAGGAACCACCTCTTAATTGCTGGTGTTCACCCTGACCCAGGGTAGTAGCACCTGCTAGGGTTTCAGCTATGGGCAAATAGTTAACTATTAACAGCAATACTTTTTTGAAAAAATTTATTGCCAGCAATACAATTTTGAAGGAAATATATTACTAGAAACAAAATATTACCAGCAATAAAATTTTTTGTCAGCATTAAATAACCCATTGAGGTTGATATGCCGTAAAACAAAATAAACCAAACCAATCTAAACCAAAGAATACATATTATATTCATACGAATCTATCCTAAAAATGTTTTCGGCATTAAATAACCCATTGAGGTTGATATGCCGTAAAATAAAATAAACCAAACCAAACCAAACCCCCATTATCCGGACTGTTATCCTCATTTTCATTGGCATATTCACAACGATCCGGCCTTCTTCATTGGAATTTCTAACCGAACCCCTTATTTCGTTCACCGGGGTAGATTTTTCTAGTTCCCCGTGCCGTGCCTCTTACGGATGTCTCAGTTATTTCCCTTTAACTCAACTCTCCAAGTTTTGTTTCACCACTGCTGTGGCCTGGTATTGAACTCACAACTCTTTGGGTTTAGTCACTGGATCTAAACGACCTCTCTATTCACTGGGCCTTGAGGACATCCATGTATGAATTTTGGGGACTTATAAACCTAATGTCTCAGCAATCATTTTTTTATTGGTTGGGTCATTAAAGGTTTCCCTGGTAGCCCATGCCTTAAAGAAATACAAAGAATTGTACTCACAAGTACAGCCCACACCTTATGAAGGGCTTTAGCTATGTAAAATATGTACGATTCTTCTTTCAAAACTGCTCAGTACAAAATGATATGATACCATTTCTGACCTTAGGTCTCTGGTCGGGACCTGGACAGAAATGAGTATACACCAGAGACCAAAGGAAATAATACAACAACAACAACAACAACAATAATAATAATAATCAATCAATCTGAAGGGTCCATTAATTCCAGTTATAGTTGGAGCACTCGGATTGATCGGGAAATGTTCCGATAGATTCAGTGAATGGATTTCTGGTATGTCTTAAAGAAATACAAAAGATTGTACTCACAAGTACGGCTCACACATTACGAAGAGCTTTATGTATATAAAATGGGTGTGATTTTAGGCTGTCTAATTTTATTTTTTTTACAAAAATGCTCAGTGGAAAATGTCATGATGCCATTTGTCATCTTAGGTCTCTGGTTGGGATCCGGAAGAAACTCACTATACAAGAGAAGATAAAGGAGGGACAGCAAAAAATGTCCCCTTTTTTATATGGCACTCCCTGCAGACTGTAATGTATCTTTGAAAATCTTTTTAAAAAAATCTATCAAAATACAAGGACCTTGAAATCGAAATCTCAAAATTGTAGCACATGAGGACATCAATAATCCCTGTTGTAGTTGGAGCACTCGGATTGGTTGGAAAAGATTCCAGTAGACACATTGAAGAGATTACTGATAGCCCATGCCTTAAAAAAAACACAAAAAAATGTATTCAGAAGTAAAGGCCATACATTACGAAGGGCTTTATCTATGTCAAATATGTAAAATATTGCACCATCGAGGAACAACGGCGCCGTAGTACGCTCTGTATGCAGAGGGAGTCAAGCCCTCAGGAATCCATCGTTGGAGTCAGCGAAAGGTGCCAAAGTCGATCGGGCGCTTTAAATCAGAATACACAAAGTGTAACGGACGGGAAAACGGATCTGGCCGCCCCCATCAACATAGCGCGTGGAAGAACACATCCAAATGGATGGCTGCCTTGACCAGGGAAGACTGGCAAATCACGCCCACAAAAGCCCTAGTACAGAGGTCACCAATGGCAGGCAGCCGAAAATGGTATTACGAAGTCTGAACCAATAGCTACCCTTTTCATATTCACGACGTTTCACGCTCCGGCCTTCTTCAGGATCTCTCTATATTTATGAGATGAGGTATTGTAACTATTTACACCAGGAGTCGGCAACCTACGACATGCGTGCAACACATGGCACGTTAAGCAATTTCGAACAGCACGCAGCCGCAAATGACATCACGAAGTCCGAACCAATAACTACTACAACACAAAGAAGATATTTCGCTGTTTCAATTTAATTATATACTAAAGTATATCTATTATATATTACTATACAAAATATATTGTAGAACAGGTATATTGACATTTACGTATGCTGTTGGTACACTCAATGATTTTAAAACCCTAAGTCGGCACATAGTAAAAGGTTGCTGACCCCTTGGTCTACAGCAGCCAATACAAGGAAAGACTGAAAACTCTAAAAGCTATTATTATACAACATAAACAGCCGACATTAAATAAATTATCATTCACCTCAGGAGAAGTTATCTTGACATTCATATGATATAATTAATGGGTACACATATTTTATCAGTATTATAATAATAAAAAAAAAATAAAAATTAAATTAAATTAATAAATAAATTGGATTCATTTGCGGCCTCATTCACGTAAGTCATTACATATGACGTCACACTAAACTATTTGACATATTATTGTATATATTACTATATAAAATATATTGTAGAACAGGTATACAGGTATATTGACCTTGACTTTGATTTTAAAACCCTAAGTCGACACATAGTCAGAAAAAGGTAGCCGACCCCTGCCCTAGTGCATATTGACTTGGAGTACAGTAAAATGTATGCGCGTTGGCTGCCCCAACAAAGCAGGCGGTGCAAACGTAAAACGATACCAGAAGTGCATCGCCGTGCAGGGTGCGGGGAGCAGTGGGTTGGAAAGTGACACATATGCATTTGTTTTTCACCATTGTTGCTCATAAATGTCTCGTATAGAAATTGCGTTTTTATTTGGATTCACAATCATACGTTTTCTGTGCCGCATTTTAAGAGGAGGCACGGTGGAGTAATGGATGGCGGCTCGGATTGAGCAATCAGAGAACCGAGTTCGAATTCCGGTCAAGTTCATTACATTCACTAAATAGCCTTGAATAAGGTATGAATATGGGTAAATAGCAGGACAGACTGGGATCTATAGCGTTGGATGGCAACTGGTCTCCCGCAAAAAAAAAATGGCAACCTACTGCGGGAAAAAATCTACCTCGTCAGTCATGATATATGATCGTTTAAGCGTTTATGGCACATAACTGACTGATTTTAAGAAAATATTTCTAGCAAGAAATGGTAAAGATTGTCTGTCAAAATAGCTTTTTTTGTTTTTGTATTTTTTCTTTTGCAAAAACTTGTTGTCATTAATAAACAAAAAGATGTTTTATTTCTTTTAATTAATATATAAACGGACACGCACACACATATACAGGGTGAGTTAAAATTTTGTTAACACTAATATGAGAGAAATCATTTATTAAGAGTTTGTT